TTTTCTGGGAAGGGAATGGAATGTGAATTCACCTGAATGTGTTGGGACCAGAATTCCATGAGTTCCATCCAGTTGTGTGAGTGTAAAATGATGTGTACATCGCTGTAGTATGTGGTGGGTTTTAAAAGCTGTATTTGGATTTCCTGGTCCCTTTGGATTTGTGAGGAGGATACTGCATTTTCAGACAAAGACAAGTTCAGGGGCCAGTGATTTGGTTTCACCTGGGTGACATCTCTCTTTTTCACTCTGTCTTATTTATAGCTACCTTTTCACCTGTTGCCTTCACTTTTTTTTTTTTAAATATTCCTGTATGTAGATATTCAGAATTGGCAATGTAGGGGCATGAATGGAGTCCAAACTATATTCCCATCGCATACTAGGTGATAACATGTAGTCAGCACATCCCATATTCCCCATTCCAGACAGTTTTCTGTATCATCTCATTTAATCCTCAAAACAACCCTATGAGGTAGGTGCTGTTACTAATCGCCATGTTATAGTTGAAGTAGAGAGATTGAGAGTTCCTATAAACCAAAAAGAAAAAAAATGGTAGAGCTAAGATCTGAGCTCACATTTATCCTCTAACACTATACAGAGTACGTGGTGAATATTTAATAAGAGAGTTGCAGGACTTAGGACTGTCAGAGACTTCCTCCTTCATCGATTATTGATTAGCTGCAATGAGGTAGTCTTCGTGGATAAAGGGAAAATTGGCCTTTGTACAGAGCTTGTACCAGGAAAATAAGAGGAAGCTAAACTACTTGGAAAGGTAATTCAACCCAAGGGTATAGAAACCTGAGCCTGGGCCAAGAATGGATGTGCATTGCAAAAAAATAAAAAATAAAAAAAAAATAGGAAAATGTGGGTCTCTTACCAGGATGGCTTAGCCTGGGTTTTCAAGGTTTTAGACTTGGAGGTTGTTTATGACGTCGGTGCAGGCGCCGGGTGCACAATTCCTTCCTTTTCTGCTGCCAGCCCAGCGGGAGACTGGCCTTATCAGTGATGAGCTTGTCCGGGAAGCAAGGTGCCTCGGTGAATGTCTCTGATTCCTTCAGTTCACCCCGCGCTCTGGCTAACGAGGCACCCGTGGCACAGGGTGGAGTCATTGCCGAGATCGGGGCCGGGAAGCAAGAGACGGTTAAGGCATTCGGTTCTCCATCGATCCCCGCTTGTTGGATTGTTGTCTGAATGCAGCCACGAGGACTGATCAGACGCATCACACAACAGGCCTTGCTGCTTCCCTGGGAGCTGGGAATGTTTACTGAAGGAAAAATAGGCATAATGAGACCATGTTTTATCGAAATGGAGGGACTGGTGCCCAATTACCAGAACATGAGAAGAGCATGGTTTTATTTTTTATTTCTTTTTACCTGATGCTGTGGAGAGCGGATGGCTTACAGAGGAGTCCACATTCGCTGTCAAAGGCAAACATGAGGCATCCTTTAAACAAGACGAAATGTAATTCGTCACGTTCAGCCTGTAGACCTAAAACATCAGCCTGTGGGTATCATTTCATGGCTCAGCATCACAGTAAGGAGCGACCAGTATTGAAGAGGGAACGTTTGTTTGTACTTGGAGGGAGAAGGAAGCTCCGTGGAATCATTGAGATGGTGATGAAAAACAAAGCCCTTTTTCCGAAGAGGACAGGCCCGCCCAGTGACCTCCTGCAGCTGGAATCCAAGCTCTCGAATCCTGAGGTTCCAGGCTCTCAGGCTAAGACCTAAGACGGCTGCTTTCATTTGTGAGCCGGGCCTGTGGCTGCAGGCAGCACACCTCCCCCTCCTGCCCTGTGTTGCGGGGGGGGGGGGGGGGGGACGGGACACACACACACACACACACACACGCCTCAGATGCAGAATTCTGCCCGGTATTGCGACATCCCCCCACTTCCCGGAATGCTGCGGACAGATCCGGGCAGCAGCACGCAACCTTGATCTCTTGCATAAACATCTCTGGGTCCTGTTCTGTCATTTCCTCCACTAAATGAAATTAGTGAAATGTTCTCAAATTCTGTTCTTCTGTTTCTAGAACCACCATCTCTCCCCCCTCCCCCAGTACATTTTAAAAATTGTATGACTTGAAAGTGATTTGGCAAAGCCAAATTCTTTGCCTGGGAGACAATCACCCCCTGTAAGGAATTTGCCTTTTATCCGAAAGGGTTAACGGGCCTCTGAAAATGCTCGATTTATCCAGCGAGGGGACCCCGAGACCCTGTGGGACCCTGCCTTGGCCTTTTCTTCAGAGGAATGTAATTTGGAACTCCCCTGCCTCGTCCCACCAGCTGCTTAGTTATGGGTGATATTGACTTTTAGTTTGCAAAAGTCTCGCTTTGGAAAATTGTTTTTAACAGCTCTCAACCGCTCACGTCCCGTGTTTTTATTTTATATCACTTTTCATTGGGGATATTATTAAGTCAAATCCTTGGTAACCGTTCTCCGCAATTCAATTTCTTTTTACCCAAGATCCATTGAATTCAAGTCACTGCCTTTTCGCAAAAGGTTAACCCAATATTTCATGTTATGCTTTCTACTTATGCTACGCAAAAGAAAAGTCACTGTGATAAGCAGCCAATAAATTGTATTCAGAATGTTCCTTCTCAAAAGTTACATTACTCTGCCCACATAGATAAACATAATCATTTATCACAATAGGAATTGTGGAAATAAAAACTAAAATAAATGCAGCTGTCTTTCTTGCATGTTACCCAGACATTTCTTTCTTTCTTTCTTTTCCCCCCCATAAATATTGGGTACAATAACCACCTTTGAAAAATGTCATCTTTTTATGTGTGAATTAATATGAGATTAGTAAAGGGTCAAGGTTAAATAACTAGACAAAAACTGCGTTTATTTTATATTAGGAAAATGTTTTCATTTTTTTGTATAAAAATATGATTACATTTTTAATGTTGGCTCTTATCAATTAATAGGTTGCATTGGCATTATTTTATCCTAAGGAATAAACCATGTAAAACTCTTAGCTCTATTGTATGTTTGTTATCCATAAAACATGGACATGTAAAGAGATAGTTTGAAGAAATATCATGTCTATCAGCCATAGGAATTACGAAAAATAATTGTCACTTATAGTGGGCTAATCAAGTAAGTTCCAGTGATGTTTATTAGAGTGAATACAGTATACAACGAAATCCATTAAAAATAGAACTTAGTGATTATTGCTTTTGGTAACAGCTTTATTGAGAAATAATTTACATACCACACAATTTACTCATATGAAGTGTAGAATTCAAAAGCTTTTAATGTATTCATAGAGTTTTGCTACCATCACCACAATTAACTTTTATCACCTAGAAGAAACCACTTACCCTTTTCTTGGAAAAAAAAAAGGTTTTATTTATTTTAGAGAGGAAGGGAGAGGGACAGAGAAACATAAATGAGAGAGAAACATTGATTGACTGCCTCCTGCCCGCCCCACACTGGGGAACAAGCCCACAACCCGGGCTTGTGCCCTGACCAGGAATTGAACTGGTGACCTCCTGGTGCATGGGACGATGGTCAACCACTGAGCCACATTGGCCAGGGCTAAACCACAGACACTTAGCAAGCACTTCCCATTTCCCCCTAATTCCCCAGCCCCTGGCAACCACACTCTACTTTCTCCCTCCACAGACTTGCCTTTTCTAGACATTTTTTTTAATCAATGGAATCATCCAATATGTGGTATTTTATAACCGGCTTTTCTCAGATAGCATGTTTACCATATTCACCTATGCTGTTTGTACATTCCCCAGATTTCCTCCTTATTGATATCTAACTCCATTGTGTTTGGAGAACTACTTTGTATGACTTTCATTCTTTTATTTCATTGAGGCTTGTTTTGCGGCCTCCTGTATGGTCTATCTTAGAGACTATTCCGTGCACACTTGAGAAGAATGTGTATTCTGTGGCTGTTGAGTTGGAGTGTCCTATACATTCTATTAAAAAATTTTTAAAATTCATTTTTTACAGAGACAGAGAAAGGGAGAGGGTGAAGGAGAAGGAGGGGGGGGGAAGAGAGAGGGAGAGGGAGAGAGAGAGAGAGAGAGAGAGAGAGAGAGAGAGAGAGAAAGAGAGAGGGAGGGAGGGAGGGAGGGAGAGAGAGGTCAATTTGATGTTCCACTATTTATGCATTCATTGGTTGATTCTTGTGTGTGCCCTGTCTGGGGATAGAACTCACAGCCTTGGCTTATCCAGACATCACTCAAACCAACTGAGCTGCCTGGCCAGGGCTCAAGTGTATTTCTTCTTTGTTCGTCTTCTTGAGTCTAGGATTCTTGGTTGACAGTTTTTTCCTTTTAATACTTTGAAAATCTCACCTCACTACTTCCTGACAGCTGCGATTCCGGATGGGAAGTCAACTGTTAAACTTACTGGAGTTCTCCGGGACACGAGGAGTCATTTCTGTTTTTCTCTTACTCCTTCCAAGATTTTCTTTTCGGTGTTGACGTTTGGTGTCTATGTGTGAATCTCTTTGCATTTATCCTATTTCACATTTGTTGAGCTTCTGAATGTACAGTTTAATGTTTTCTCTGTTTTTAGAATCAGATTTGGGAAGTTTTCAGCCATTATTACTTTCTATATTTTTCACCTCCTTTCTTTCCTCTCCTGGTAACCCCATTGCAGTGTTTGGTGTACTTAATAGTGCATCACCTACCTTTCAGGCTTTCTTAATTTTTGTCATACTTTTTTCTCTCTGTTCATCGGATTGCATAATCTCTAAGTTTGCTGCTTCTTTCTTCTGCCAGTTCAGATCTACTACTGAGGCCCTTTAGCAGATTTTTCATTCAGTCCTTGGGGTTTTTCACTCAGCTAGGATGTTACCTAATAAATGATTACATGCAGTAAGTTTATTGTGGAATCACAGTAGCAGAAGGGAAAGCAAGATTTATAGTGTATGTCTGCCTTTGGGTGTGTGGGGGTAATGTGAAGATAAATTTTTTTGATTTATTTTTAATACCAACATATTTACGTGTGTTTATATCTTGTTCATACTGTCTTTAGAGTATCCTGGCTTTAAATCCTCGAACACAGACTCATGCAACTCTGCGTTCGACTTCGGCCAAGAAATTAGACAAGAAACATTGGAAAAGAAATCCGGATAAGAACTGCTTTGTAAGTACCACTGCTTATGATTTCACGCTGAAAAATGATCTCGCTTTACACATTGTAAGCAAGATTTTTACATTTACTTAGAAATACACTTAAGTATGAGTAAAGTACAGCTGTGGGTTTTTTTTAAAAAAAAAAATTAAAATATTTTATATTAGAATCATCTCAAAGTGTGTTTAATTTTACTGCTTAAAAAAAATCTATGGAAACAGTTAAACATCCCATAAATTTAGTTTGGTGCCCAAATAATTTTTCTTAAAAATCTAAAATTTCTCTTAAAATAATTTGGATAATGACACAATGATACAGAAGAGTTTCTATTACTGATGTAGTTCAACTGAAGAAGGGTAAACGAATATAGAAACTCATAAAGTGTGCTTTGGGGGAACATGTGAGCATGAGGTGTTTAATATGAGCCTGTAATAGTATATCCAGGTGAGATCTCTGAGCTTGCTTATTGTTAGAGCCTCGTTTAACTGGGCCTATGAGGAGACTTCAGGGCTGGGACTGTGAAACCATCGACTGTGGTCAAGTACAAGCTCAAAGGAAACACTGAACATGCCCTCTTAGGGGGTACACATCCATAAATTTGTAAACCAGTTTTCTTTCAACCTGATTTCCCCAAATTAATTCCCCCCACATTAATTGTCTCAAATTAGTGAGACAGTTACTAGTATAAGCTTATTTAACATTTGTTCTCTCGGTATTGTTTTGTACACTGTCCAGTACAATGATTTCAGTTTATTTTGATGTACTTGTTTCCTTTGTAATCATACATTTCGTAAGGTAGGAAAAATCCATTCAGTGGTAAAGCATGCAACAGTTAAAAATTCTTTAGGAAACCATTAACAATCTGGAAAAATACCATCCTTATTCATAAAAAAGCATGAAATGTCACTATATTTAATAATGATTGCGTGCACTTATATGTCTGAGAGGCATCTCAGACTTAACATGTTGAAAATCCAAATTATGATCTTATCTCTAAAACCTGTTCTTCTTGAGGTCATCATTACCTGCTCCTTCACTGACAGCAAAAGTTGTTATTTCTCTCACCTCTCCTACCTAATTAGAAGGTCCTTTTGGCTTTGCCTTCAGGTATATCCGGAATCATTACCTGTCATCACTTAATCATACCAGCCTTTCTAAGTCACTACATTCTCGCTCACCTGGATCATTACAGTAGCCTGGAACCGGTTTCCATGCTTCTGCCTTTTCCTGGTCGTTTCTTTCTTTCTTTTCTTTTTTTTCTTTCTTTTCTTTCCCTAGTCCTAACCCTAACCCTGTCTTTCCTTCTTTTTAGATAGAAAAACTTTAATATGGGATCTGGCCATAGAGTCTCTTCTTAATAAAACATCTGAAGAATCCTTTCCAAATTCCCGGCTCAGCATCTTTCAGGGAGTTTCCAGCTTTCTCAGAGTTCACACAGTTCCCTTCCCAGCTCAGCAAGGCCTTCTCCTTCTCCAGCCGCCTGTTGAAAACTGTACCCAGCCCCTCCCTCGCTCCCATAGTCGTCCCTGCTGACGCTCCTCCACAGCGCGCAGCAGTGACATACTCTGCGGGGCACTCACTCATTCGGTTATGGGCCGTCTTTTTCCACCAGAAGATAAAGTCCGGGGGCGGGGATGGTTTCATTAACTGTGCCCACACCTTCCAGAAGAGCTGGTGCCACTGAGGGCTCCGTACTTGCTAGTCTGGTGGTGAGCGGGGTCCAGAGCACCTGTCATCTCGCACTGGGGTCTCGCTGTGGTGAAATGGACAATCCAGATGTGTTTCCTCGTTTCCCTGATGGGAAAGATTTGGCGGGAAATGTTCAGTGATGACTTAAGCGCATTACAAACTGCTCAGTGTGGCTTCTCGAATGCTGGTCATGTGACCCTCGTGTGTCGTTCCCGGTATATCCCATGTCCTCCCGAGAAAAGACAAGTAGGATCTTGTTACCGTAGATCCACGCAAGTGAAGGGCACCGTGGCCTGGAACGGTTGCCGCCTTCGTGACCGGTGATCTCACAGCGTCTCCGAAGGCCGCCGGACAGGTTCCTTTCCTGCCAAGCCTCTGCCCAGCGGGTATAAAGGTTTTACTTGTTTCCTTGGATTTTCTTTGCTTTTCAAGAGCATCTCCTTTGCTTGGGTTTGACAGCCGTCTGTTTCGGTTTGGCTCTGGAGCCACTGCGCTGGGGGCTGGGTTCCTGGAGGCCCCAGGAGCGTTCTCCCCGAGACCTTGTCTAACATCTCCCCGTCTCCCCGTCGGCCTTTCTTTCCCCTTCCCACCTGCTCCTGGAAACGGCCATATTCCAGGCGCTGCGGTGAATGCTCCTCAAAGATGAGTAAAAATCCGCAAAAGTAGTCTAAAATGATCTAATAGAGGTGAATGTAGTGTTCATAAGTGAGAACATAGGCGTCTTCGTAGAACACAGGCATCTGGCCCATACAGGCGCCCTCCAGAAAGGCAGGTCTGAAACTCCCGCTCTGGAATTTCTTCCCTTGGCAGTTCAAATCCATCCTCGTCCTAATTGGAGACTCTGAATTCAGCAGGGGATTTAAGCTGGCAAATGTGTTTGTACTGGTTAATGAAGCACAAAGCAGTTACTTCCAGGATCTCTTAGGCAGGTGTTCCGTAACTGCTGTTTATTTTTTGCCATTTCTGAAAATGTTGAACTGTCCTAATTAATAAATATTTTTGCACTCAGATTTCCGTGACTAATTTTTAAGACCAAAAATACGTTATAAATCAGAAAACATCTGGGTGAAAATAAAAAGGAAGGCAAGTCAAGGCAGCCTGTTATTAGACAGATTTTCAAGAACTTTAGCTAATTTGTTTTAAACACTTGGCACTTAGTAGGACTTCACCGTAAAAAAGATTCTATATAATAAAGAGCTAATATGCTAATTAGACCGAACAGCAGAATGACCACCCGGGCGACCTTCCGGACGAAGCCGGGGCTGTGAGGGCCAGCTGAGGCAGCCAGGGCTGTAAGGGCCGAGCCCTTTGCACGGATTTTGTGCATTGAGCCTCTAGTAAATAAATAAAAGTATAGAACTTTAAATAGAATGGGGATTCTGAGCCTAAATTCTCCCCTCGTTTAGACAGGTGCAGACTTTGTCCTTTTGAAATTGGGGTGGGATCTTACATCAGATGAATGCTGACCCTTAACCAATATTTACCTCACATAGTAACGTGCCCATGGGAAGGCATTTTTGGTTGAACTTCGGTGTCGGGTGAATTTCCCGCCAAAATATAAGATGGCGCGTTAAAATGCCTATATCTTTTGAAGTATGGGTTCGATTGAAATGAAATATTTGGTAATACGCAGTTACAATCGGCCCGAGTTTACACGTTTCCCGCACTCCACCGCAAATCTATATGAACCGAGTTTAAGACGGCTCCTGCGGAGTACGCGCAATTCACGCGAGCCGACTTAACTCGTTTCCCGCAACCCAAGTGTTAAAGCCTGGTTCTGGACTCAAAGGAGAATTACGGGCGAGCTCAGATTCTGTAAGAATACAGCGCACACCTGAGTCAGTCATTAGCATCTGAAATCACCGACTGGCTTCCATGGTCTGCATCTGAGGTGTGGGCTCCGAAGCACGTCCCCTGAACATTCTGGGCGTCAGCTCAGTGGCTGGAAGTAAGCTCCCTCCGCGGCCGTGAGCGCTCTGAAAGAGGCGTGTGTTGCATCGCGCTTTCTCGATGAGCCTCGCACGGCTAGAGAGAAGCCAGTCTGCCACGCTGGGAGACTCACAGAGCAGAAATATTTGCTTGAAATCTGACTGGTACAGTTTCACTGATGACTAATGGAGGACCTACTATGTGCCGGCCATTGTGGCAAGTGGTGGGGGAAGGACACACACTCATCTTGCCCTGACCATTTGCCATCATTCACACAGCCATTCCGTTCATTCGCTCTCAGCCGCTGTCAGAAGAGCCAGCCGCGGGAGCCAGACCTCGAGCGTGTATCCTGGCCCCAGGATTCGCGGTTGGCCTCCCTGAGAAAACAGAGTTAAAGGTGAAAATACACGTGATGGAGGGACAGAAAGAGAAGAGGGGTCTGTCCCACCAGAGTGGACAACAGAAATGGGAGGGAGTGCAGAGGAGGGAGCCGAATGAACTTAAGGCAGGAACCAGTTTCAGCACTGAATGGCGAAGAGGAGGGAAGTACGAAGAGATCAGCGGACGGTCCCACCGGTGACAATCACAGGGATAGCAGTGAGGCGGGGCCGCCATGAGCTGTGTTGGAAAGCTCTAGATTCTGCTTATTTCATCCAGGGAAGTGCATGCCACCTCATGAGGAAAGCACATGCTAAAATGTAGAGTTGTTAGAAAATCCAGTGTCAGGTTATCTCTTTGAGAGGATGTGTTTTCTTGGTGCTTCTTCCCACACTTAGAGTAAATGGCTTCGTCGGAGGTTTATTCTCTGGGCAGAAATATGTAATAAAATGTTCATCGACGAGCAAGAAGGAAAAGGGTTAACTCCGATTTCCCTAGCAAGTTGCCTTATTATTTATTTCACTCACCCCAGCGCTCTCCAGGCCCACGGACACACCAATCATGCTCCTTTGTAATTGTCAGCCGTCCGCCCTTATTTTGCTCTTTTTAGTTTGAAATTTTTATAACAATTCAGTGCTGGCTCTGTTTCTTTTCTTTTTAAACCAACTCTATTATTCGTTAGAATGAGTGTAGTTGCCTAGTCAGGGTTTAAAGTGGACTGCAAGCAACTTTCCCCGAAGTAAGGCCTGCTTCGTTTTCGCTTTCTTAGCAGAAGGAAGAAAAGGTTCCCCTTGAGGCTGGCTGCTTGGCTTTGAGGGTGGGATTTTAGGAAGGAGACAGCGAGAGCAAAGGGGGGTTTGGGGGGTGGTGACCTCTCCCCACGGAAAGGCTGGCTGAGCCAGCCCCAGGGTCACCTAATTGGGCTCAATGATTGGTTCTGCCATCTACTGGCTGCGTGACCTGGAGCGAATGCCTTAATCTCTTTCTGCCTCCATTTCCTCTTCTGTGAAATGAGG